AGAGTTTGGACATGTTGCTAAGTGAGTCTATTCCTCAGAAAGAAACATTGTGCGTGGAAATATGGAAGGTCAGTGGAAAGGGGGACCATCAATAAGACAGATTGACACAGTGACTGCAGCAATGGCCTCAGGTGTGTCAGAAATGGTAAGGATAAGACAGTCAAGTTCAGGTCTGATCTTCATAGAGTCTCTACGAGTTGTACTAACAACCACAACCCCAGAGGTTCTAGAATTGAACATCTGTGTAGACTGCGTAAGCCAGTGGTCATTTATTATGGCTACATGTTAGTATCATCTCCAGAATAAAATGTTTAGGTGGCACATCTGACCAATTAAATTAGATTATCAAAGGAGGGGATCTATGCTTTTGTAGTTTTAAACAGCTCTGGAGGTAATATCAACATGAAGACAGCGTTATAAATTTCTGGTTTAAGCTAAAATGTCTCAAATATATATAAATAGTTCCGAGAGTTCCTTGGAACTCTTTATTGAACAAAGAAGTTGTCATTTAGCTTCTTTTTGTTATGTGCCATTGAATCACCTGTGACCCATAGTGACCCTACATACAACAGATCTGAAGTCTGTCCTGTCCTGAGCCAGTCTCACTGATTTCGACACATCAACCCCCATTGCTCCAGTTACTGTATCAATCCATCTCATCAGGGGTCTTCCTCTCCTGCACTGTCTCTCCACCCTTCTGGGCATGATGTCTTCCTCCAAGGACAAGTTCCTCCTGGAAACATGCCATAAGTATGTGAAATGGAGCTTCAGAATCCTAGCCTTCAAGCAAAAACTTGGTTTTACCCTCTCCAAGACAGACTTATACTTGCTTTCTTTGTGAGCCATGGTATGTTCAAGACTCTTCCCTAGTACCACAACTCAAATGTATAAATTCTTCTTGTGTCATCCTTAGTCATTGTCTAGCTCTCTGATGCAAAGTAAGTAATTGTGAATACCATCACCTGGATTAGGAACACCTCAGTCTCTGGACTGACAGACTAGGAAGAAGAATTGGCCATCCACTTCCAAAATTTATCGGGTCTTCAAAAACCCTACGTACAGTAGAGCACACTAAGAGTAGACTAACAGATATGGCAACTGAGGCTGAGCCCTCAAATTTGGAAACACAAAGGAGGAGGAACAGTTGTAAGCAGAAACTAATGATTGGAACATGGAATGTGAGAAGCATGAATGTAGGAAAACTTGGCATTGTTAAGAAAGAAATAAAACATAAATATTGACATATTAGGTATTAATGAAATGAGATGGACTGGCATGGGACATTTTGAATCAGACAATCATATGATCTACTACACTGGAGATGGAAAGGTAAGAAAAATGGGGTTGCTTTCATAGTCAAAAAGGACATTTCTAGATCCATCTTGAAATACAATACTGTGCGTGACAGGATAATATCTGTACACATACAAGGAAGACCTGTTAATACCACTATCATTAAAACTTGGGCACAGAAGTACAGCATTGAATGAATGGAAATCCAAAATCTCTGTAAATGCTCATTAAAATTATTTAAAAAAACAATAAAAAAAGACAAACCAAAAAAACTTAGGCACCAACAACAACCAGAGCCAAAGAGGAGGAAATAGATAATTTCTACCAACTGTTGCAGTCAGAAATTGATTGAACATATGACCAAGATGCATTAATAACAATGGGTGACTGCAATGCCAAAGTTGTCATTTAGCTTAACATGCTTATCATCAGAAAGTCTAACTTCGGTGAGACTGATAGAAGGTTTGTGAACTTCTGATTTCATATATTAAGACTTGTATGGATAAGCCTATGCCAATTTTTCTAGGAAGAGTCCTCAATTTTTACTAGACTAATTTTTCTACCCTATTACCTTGCTTGTTTATGCCATTCATTCATTTCTTTTTATACCATGTTCTGCTCCTTTTTCTTCTCCACACAGACAGCCATTCATTTATCTTAAAGTATATGTTTGTTTGACTATGTTCTTAAAACTGGGTTTGTTTTGTGTTGTGCTGTTGCTCGGTATTGCCAAGTTGACTATGACTCATAACAACTCTATGAATGAAAGAGCTGAACTTCGCCCTGTTCTGTGACATTCTCATGATCTTTGCCCACAGAAGTAGACACTGTGTCAGCTCATCTCATTGAGGGCCTTCTCTTCCCTTGACCCTCTATTTTTCTCACCATGATGTCTCTTTTTAAGAACTGGTTCCTCCTGAAAAATATGTTTTGTGTATATGCTTACAGTTTACATAAGCTCTGTGCTGGTACTCAGTGCTATGTTGTTTAGATCCATTGCTGTTGGTTTGTATGCACATCAAATACACTGCTCCCACCTGCTGTTTCTTACTCTGAGGAGGATGTGACTAATATCTGACCAGCTTCCACAGTGATAAATATCCAGGATGTTTCCAACTCTGTGAGGCCACAAACAATGCTCCTGTGAACATCCTGACCTATGCCCACTTAGGAACACATGTGAGAGTTTCAGGACTGGAATGACTGGGCAACCCAGGGTGTACACACTTTTTTTTAATAAGACAGACTAGTCAGCTCTTTAGAGTAGTGGTTCTGGCTCCATGTTAATGATCTTCACTGGGTCTCTAAGTTGGTGTAGGATTTTCAATCCTCTCCAAGGAGCCAATGAACGATTGTGAAAACTCGGACACCAGTGCTGCTTGTCTTTCTTCATTCTTTTTGTCCTGTTCCCTGTGGCAGCTGTATTGAGTATTATGATCGTCAGGTTTTTTATTCTACCACAATATATCTTTTCAATGAAAGAAAAAAGGTAATTTTAAATTTTCTCTCTCCACTTCTAGCTCCATCTTGATTTCTTTTGTTATTCATGTTTCTTTATAGGAAAAACCTGTTTCTGAGCTTTAGGCTCCATGTCTTTCTGCCCCCACCCCTTCTTTTACCAATCTTTGTTTACATTTCTTTATATTTCCCTTATTTTGACTTGCTTCTCTGGCTCACAATCCTGACCAAGATTTTCCTAAACTGAGAGAAACTTCCCTTCAATCCAAGCTATTTCCTTTTCGGAGAGGTGGGGAAGTTGATAATCTACAATGAACTTTATGAAAGTGCTTTTTCCTCTCTTCTTCAATTCCTTCTTACATCTCTCCTCACTCCTTCTAGTTGCTAAATCTACGTGCACTTTCTAGATTCTGTTCTGCCTACCTAATTCTTGCACACTACACCACTGAAAACAAGCTTCCCGGAGCTTTGCCTTCTCTTGCCTTCAGGGTGTTGTTTCTCCTGCTTTTTTTCCTCCCTCACTCTGTGCTCCTGCTCAGTATCCACCCTGACTTCCTTTCCTTTACAGTTTTCCCCCTACGTGGTTTTATCACCAAGGCCTCTGAATGCATATCTACTGTTTGCCTGAGACAGCTTACCTACTTCTTCAGCATTTTAAATTTCCATTTATAATCATATGATTCTGGAACCTGGGTTTAGCTTTAACACAATGACTATTGTTGTTAGATGCCATTGAGTCAACTCCAATTTATAGGTAACCTGTGTATAACAACTGACACTGATCCAGCACCATCCACACAATCTCCACAGAACAGAGAAAAACTCATTGTTTTAGGAAAAAATGGGCTGTGTGTTAAGATCCAGCATCTCATTTAGTATATGAAAGCTCACAGTCTAGGACTTTTTCCCTTAGTTCTAGATCCATATATCTGGCACTCTTTGAGGAAGGCTAGCTAACTAATGTATATTGTTGCTGTGTGTACCACTGAGTCAGAACCAACCCATAGCTGACAGAGCCTCTGGTGGGTTTTCAGAGGCAGTTTATTGCATGGGGTTAGCTGAAATAAATTATATACCTCTTTGAATTGTGGTATTGGTGAAGAACATTGGATGTACTGTAGACTGACAAAAGAACAAATCTATACTGAAGGAAGTGCATCTACAGTGCTCCTTGGATGCAGGGATGGTGACATTTTCCCTCATGTTTTGGACATTATCAGGACAGGTCAGTCCTTGGAAGAAGACACCATACTGGCAAGGGTCAGAGAAAGAGAGGAAGACCCTCAATGTGATGAACTGACACAGTGACTGTCACAATGGGCTTGAGCAGGACAGAAATTGTGAGGACAGCGTAGTTTAAAAAATGGTTCAGATCTGGTGGTCATAGGCTTGCTGTGAGTCATAGCTGATTTGATAGTGCCTAATAACGACAATATTTTTTTTTTCTATTCCGCGACGCTAAGGCCTGTCTTTAATTGTTTTTTGGTGAAACATTCTTCTAGCTCATATAGCCCTGGTGTGTCCACTTGCCGTACAGTGGTAACTTGTGGTCACTGTGAAGCTGAACACTGTGACACTGATGTGTCAAATGTGTTAATGGTTACCCATGGCGGACTGTGTTTGGTGGTGCTTCCTGGCTAAAACAAGATTGGAAGCAGGAGTGGCATCCACTTCTGTAAATAGCTTGCCTCAGGAAACCCTATAAACATGGAGGAAGGATGGAAGTCACAAAACTGTCGAGGACTTTCATTCATAGGGTTGCTATGAGTCGCTTATCGCTTATGACTCAGTGGCACTTAACAACAACAACAACAACAACAATAACAACATGATGTTTATCTACTTCCTTTGTCTAAGAAGTGTAGGCCTGCTTTCCAGATCTGCTTGCAGGCCAGGAGTTCTAAGAATATAATTTTGTCCATTGAGATTTCCCCCTTGCTTCTAGAATCCTAACTTATTAATAGAGTCACTCACTGGCTGGTAAGAACTGATGACATAATAATAATAATATATAAAAATAATACTGTTCATTATGTATCTTAACTTAAAAATTGCTTCACTTGACAGCACTGGGATGATAAGACTCTCATGTATGAAAGAGAATCATAGTTGAATGTGAAACGGAATAAAGACCTTGGGTTTCTTTGAAACGTTAGACTGGACAGATTGAGATGAAGAGAGTAGCAAACTTCCTCTGGGTTGGCCCTGCTACACCTTGGCGGACCGACAACCTTAGGAGCCAGCCTTACCTCTGCTTCAGAATCTGTTTGTTGTCTTCGATGGTAATGCTGTCAGCATGGTCCCTCTTGAAGATTTCAAAAGCCTCCTGGCGTCCTAGTGACATTTCCTCTCTCATCCCTGTGTGTAGACACAGAGCAATGGCTTCAGTCGCAGCATCAGGATTCTATTTATTTCACTGTCACTTTAGTCAGACCACAGAGGCAGGCCTGGCTCCAAGAGGCTCACAGAGAGAGGCCCTGACCAGACAGGTGGCCCCAGGCTCTTCCAGCTGGCTGCTGACCATGGGGAGGCTTTTCCAGCGACACTCTCTGGGCCCTGCTGGGCTGGGCCTGCACATCCATGTGACTTGTAGGGGGTGGGGTTCGGAATGTCTGGTCAGAGGAAATGAAAACCAGCATGCCCAGCCCTGGATTTCCAAGGACATCTGCAAATTCACTTTCTGCGATCATCCACTGCCACATCTCTCGGTTTTCCTGTCATGTCCCATCTTGGGTTTCTGTTCGCTTTCACCCTATGTTGACAGGTCTTTAGTTAAACGAAGCATAATCTGGAATGAAAGATCTAGTATCTAAAAAGTTTAGTTCTCAGTCTCCATGTAACAATTAACCTCACTTCCCTGCTAGTGAGGTTAGCTGGTTCTTATTCAGGAATCAGCTTCCCAGTCCCATGACACTGAGCAGACCACAACAGAGGTGGCTCGTTTATGTCCAGCCCCAGCATGCTTTGCCACCATTGGCATCGTAGGCTAACTCTCATCGCTGGGATCTTCTCAGTGTTCAAATTCAGAAATTGAGAGCCTATAGTGTTCCTACAAATAGCTCTCCAGCAAGGACCCTCCAGGGAACAGTGGCTTTCCTGCACCCTCTTTGCAATCTTGTGGGGTAGGAGTCAGTTCAGGCATAGCTGGATTTGGGATCAATCTATGGAATCACCTGTTATGCCTTTGCCCTTGGTTTGTTCTTCTTGGGAAGCCCTTCCCCCATGTTTTTACCCATTAAATTCTATTTATCTGTAAAGCCCTGGTTTAAATGATCACTTCTGTGAAGCACTGCCAAGGTCCAGGCAGAATGATTGCTCCTTCCACTGGGTTCCTTATCATTACATCTATAATACTTATTTCCCAGCAGATATTGAAACTTCACATGAAATTACCTTCTGATGATACGCAAGTTTCTTAGGGGAGACAGATTATGGGACCCACCCCCTACCTGCAAATCTCTAATGTCTTGTTCAATGTCTAGCATTTAGAAGGTGTTAAACATATGTCTGTTACATGAATTAGGTCAAGGGGAGGAAAAAAAGCAACCAAAAACAACAAACACTGAAAGGACAATGGGCCTTGTTATTATGCCCCTAGATTATGGTCCAGGGTCTTTAAAGTCCCATGTGAAACCTGGGATTCAGAGATGTATTCATATTGGTATCACGCCACATATCCCTTGTCCGGAAAAAACTCTGAGTCCCATCACCCAGCCTCAGGGGGAGGAACTGGACCAGGCCATCTGATACCAATTTAATAATTACTGTTGATAAAAATAGCACCATGAAGAATGTCTGAATGGAGAGGAACACAGAGACAACTTCCCTTTCCAATCAGAAGCAAGTGAGCATTGCTTAGTCTTCTCTGCACATCTGCCTTGCACACTCCCGGGCTGGGTGGGCCTGGGAATGGGTTTGGAGAGATGAGAAAGATGACCCAGTTGCACAAGAAACGCTCAGTAAGGGACACTCTTCAGCTAGCAGAGCCCACCAGCAGCCAGGGGATTCATCCCACATATACTTCACCCCTTTCTATGCCTGAGCCAAACAATGTAAACCTATTACTGCATAAGGAAATAACTATACAGGGAAGAGGGGACAAGTCTCTTTGGAGTAGACATGAGAAAGAGACAAGTCCTGCAGTAAGTAAGCACATTGGGGCCAGCCTGATGCATTCCCCAATCGCCTTCCTCAGGAGATGAGAAGGCTTCCACCAGTTAAGTAGTGCCAGGGGCTGACAGAGGGGGGGAAGTTTGTTCTGGATGCTTTGATGAAGTATTAATAGACCTCTCTGTCCCAGGATCTTTTTTCTTTGTGGCGCTGATAGTCCAGTTGATTGCTGGGTAGAAAGAGCCCTGCCATAACTTGGCAGCAGGTCCTGAAGGAGTTTGAAATTAACTGCCCTTGATCTTCCCTGAGATGTGGGAGTTGAAAAGACATGCACAGAGGAGAGACTCCAAGGAAGGCAGTCTGAGATCAGTATGCAGAGAGTCCTGAAGATCATGCTAAGAGCTTTGGGGCCAGCACCTTAACACAATATGTACAAGTCACGGCATTTGCAAGTACTTAACAGGTCTGGTGGCCTAGTGACCTAGTGGCAAGAAGCTGCATTGCAATCATAAGGCATGCAGTTCAAAGTCACTAATTGCTCTGCGGGAGAAGGATGGGGAATCTCTCGTGAGAATAACTGCCTCTGAAAACCATCCAGAGGGTCAGCTCTGGGCTGGTTCCAACTATGGTACACAACAACAACAACTACAACATTTAACAAAGCATGTATTATGGGGATGTTACACTGGAAGCAATTAAATGTTGCTGAGTTAGAAGGCTCTGAGGCATCCTGAAAAGCCATGGGCTTACCATTAAGAACACTATATGGGTTCTCACCCTGCCATCACTGAGAAAGTATGCTGCAATTGGAGTTCTTTTATTGTAGTGCTCTTAGGTAAACGGACACTAGCATCATGGCAAAAACCCAGGCAGCTGGCTTCATAAATGTCTGCTTAGAGAGGCCAAGGGGAGGTGTCTGGTGATGGCCATAGTCTGCAGCAAGGAGACAAAGCAAGACCAGACGCCTACAAACTTCTCATAGGCTGCCTGACATATAGGGGTGAGGTTGAGACTCCACAGAGGAGACGTATGGAAAAGACTCTGGGGGCAGCTGCAGGGTGTGGCCTCAGTCCTCGGCTGCCCATTCTCATTTGGTTTGTTTAGAGCCCACATCTAAACCATCCTTTTGACCCCACTTTGGGATAACTCAAAAAGTTAATGAACAACTTTTGATTTATTAATGAGCTATCATCATTTCTTTTTCCATTCGAAGAACACATCCAAGGAACACAGATTTTTTTTTCTCTCCATGGTAAGCTCACATTGTGTGTTTCAGAAAGAGCAAGAGCAAGCGGAGCAGAGTGAGTGAAAGATCACTTCAGCAATGAGATAATTATCCATTGATCTATTTCTCAAGTGCTTATCTCAGGCACTATGTTTGACATGTGACAGACACAAAAACAGACAAGAAGATTAAAGCCCCTGAAAGGGTCAAAGTCTAGCAAAAGAGAAAGAAAATTTTGAAAGAGAATGGTGAAAATTTTGTCTAGTCTTGGGAAACGGAGGAGAGAGAAAGGACAGGAAGAGAATGGGTCAGGGAGGCTGGAGGGCAGGAAGGTAAAATCTGGCAGGGACAGTAGGACAGGGCTTCCTGGAGCATGAGAATCCTATCTGGAAGGGTTCTGCTAGGATGAAGAAGTGTTTTCCAGAAGTGGAAGCAGAGCCTGGGTGAGTGAAGGAGGCAGAGATGGAGTGTGGATTAAAAGGACAATTTGATTACTAGGTGGTTGTGCTAACCAATGGAAGTCATCTTTGGATGATTGCTGTTATTGTAGTCAGATGCCATTGAGTAGGACCCACAGTGAACAACAGATCCAGGCTCTGCTCTATCCTGTGCCATCCTCACACTTTTTAACACACTAAAGCCCATTGCAGCAGTCATTGTGTCAATCTATCTGGTTGAGGGTCTTCCTTTTTTTCTCCTATCCTCTGCCTTTCCGAGCATCACATCCCTCTCTAAGGAACAGCACCTCCTAGCAACATGCCCAAAGTAAAGTTTTATCATTGTTGCCTCCAAGGAGCACTCTGGCTGCTCCTTCTCCAACACATATATCACTTATATGACATATAAGATATATCATTTGGGTGATTAAGTGAATTTCTTACCCAGTATATGTGAAGCACTGTACTAAGAGCTTTCTCACATATTATTTCAATTAATTTTCTCCATGATCCTTGTTAATGAGTTCATTTTATAGATGAGAAAATTGAGGCTTAGTTATAGTTATAAAGGAGTGGAAATTGCCCAGCTTTTAGAGGAAGTAATGCCATTCTCTGAGGCTCCGTCTAACATACTTTGGACATGTTGTGAGGAGAGACCAGTCCTTGGAGAGGGACATCATGCTTGGGAGGGTGGAGGGACAGCGCAGGAGAGGAAGGCCCTCTATGAGGTGGATTGATTCAGTGACTGGGATAATTGGGATGGGAGTGTCGGAGACAGTGCGATTGGCACAGGACAGAGCGGAGTTTAGGGCTGTTGTACATAGGGTCGCTATGAGTCGCAGGCAACTCGACGGCACATAACCACAACAACAACAACAACGTCATTCTCTTAGATCAGCTTTTCCAGAGAAAGTATGCCCAATGGAGTAGGGCAAGTAGTGGGGCTCAGAAGAACCTGGTAACAGTAGATTTATACATCAGATCATACTGGTATTAGTTTCTAGCCTGTCAAACACCTTGACATTTTGATAGTATCACCGGGCGGAGGGAGGAGGGGGAAATAACTCAGAACCATAAATTTGCATAGTTTACTTCATTTGTTAATGTGGTCTAGTATAATTTCTAGCATTTTTTAATTTTTATTTATTTTTTTTTAATTTCTAGCATTTTTGAGCTCAAGGGACATTTGTCAGTTTTGTTCACTGTGGTCTGTCTGGTACCTGTCACATAGGAGACTCTCAGTCAAATAACCTTAATATGAATGAATGAATGAATGAATGAATGAATGTTTTAGGTACTTGCTGTTTTTCCTTTTGTAGTGGCGCTGTGCAGGAGTGGGAGCACGCATCCTTTGCTTTCCCTCTTCATCAAGCTACTGGGCAGGCGAATCCCCGTAGGGTATAATTTTAGAAATTCCACATCATCTTCTCACCATCTGTCAGGATGCTTAACAGCTCACCAATTAGAGATTAATTCTAATTCCAAATGTATTCTTTAAAAATGCAAATATTTTTGATGGCATCACTATTTCAGGGTGAGGGGAGGGGTGGAATCTGTGATTTGTTGACAGTTAGCTAACAGGTCTT